TAAAACCACTTGTTTTTCTCCTTTAAAGTACACAATCTGATTCGACGGATAATAGTGTGTGACATATGACTTATGAGATACTCAAATATTCGCCACAGTGCTTCAGGTGCCCTAACATAACAACAATTTAAAAAAGTGTTTACTTCATCATGGTTAACCTGTTTATTTTTCAAAACATTCGCACAATCATGCCCTTTGTATATGTATTTGTACAAATATTTAACAGCCTTTACAGACATGCAAGCTTCAACATTATTGTGAGCTTGATATTTCTTAGATAACCAAGGATTGTAAGGTACCACCCAATGGTTATCTACATTGTTGCTTTTAATATTGATAACCAACCCATCATCACAACAAAAAAATTGCCTAACAGAAAGTCTATAATTGTAGAACTGAGATGTAATATGACTTCTAACCAGTGTGGCACGCTCAGAGTTAAGCACTAACTGGTTCTGCCAACCAGCATCACCTCTTAAGAAAGAGATGATAAATCATAGGATCCAAGTTGGCTGACATACTTGATACAATTTTAAAAGGATGACCTTTTGGGTAAATAACAACTTCCCTGAAAGTTGGGGGAGCACCATCTTCGCTAACAAATACAACTGCAACTTCATCGTGTGAAGGTAGATTATAGCAACGTATATCACCCCCTTCAAGTAAAGACATTTTTACAACAGAAGCTTGGCAACGTTCTATAGCTGCTTGACTAATTTCTTCATCTTCTACTTCAGCCATGTTTTAAATGCAAAAGCAAATGGATTTGTTCAGTAGATAAAGTTTGCAATTGAAACACTAAATCACGTAAACAAAGATCATTACCACGTTGTTGCATTCTAAAAGTTACTGCTGCAAGTGGATAATAAATATATAGTTGAGAATATTTTGGTGGAATATCTTGATCTGGCCTAAGATTACCTAAATAATGATAAATCTGACCACATATTTTAAAACATGGAGGACCATGATTTATTGGTTGAACTACATCTGCTTTAAAAGAAGCGAAAGAAGGACAGGCATTATAATTTCGAATGTTTTAAAAAATTGTCATTAGCATTACGATCTACATAACTCCCTGTAAATAAATCCTGTAAACCTTAATTTTATGGCAGCATAGTAAATTTGTTTCACCTGGAAATTTCTTAGCACCACAGTGCTGACAAATTTGATTCATTTCTCCTAAATAATTACAATATGGAATAGCATTACTTCTTGCTATAGAATACATTCTTCCAGGTCTAGCAGCATTTTTTTCATTTTGGCGACAATTAAGCCTATTTCTTTCATTTCGGCGATGAATATTTTCAACTTGCCCAACCAAACTTTCCCAATTTGGACTCAAATTATCTTCAGCTCGTATAACAGCTCTTCTTACATTTTGACAATGATTAACTACATCATGATTAAGCCTATTTCTTTCATTTTGCTGACGATTAACTTCATCTCGCCTAATTCTGTTTGTTTGATTTCATTTACATCATTTTGTAAATGTAAATTTTCATTTAGCCTAACCAACCCTTCAACATCATAGTTTTCATTAAACATATCATTAAAATTCATTCAAATTCTCTATAATTCAAAATCTCTTTTTATCCTACTCTAAATTGCACGATAGAGTAAAATAATTTAATTAATCTAAACTTTAAAATAAACTACAAATAAATATCTTGCTTACAAAATTAAAAGAAAAATTATATATATATATATATATATATATATATATATATATATATATATATATATATATATATATATATATATATATATATATTCTGATGATCCTAGAGAAACAATTTGTAGAAGATATATAAAAGCTAGATAGGTGTTTTTACTGATTTATTACTACTCTGTTCTTTAAGAACATTGTAGTAATAAAACATCATGGTGCTATTATTAAAATTAATAAAGCTTTTTTAATTTTATTTGAAGCATGAAAACAAACTTAATAATTCTTTTGTTATAATTAATAAAATATAAAAAATAATTTTTACTGAACTATTTATAAGTGCAAAAAAAAAAGTTAATGTGGAAACAATATCAAATGCAGCTTCTTTATAATATATAGTATATATGATATATAAATCTCTATAATTTCATCAGTTCAACAACTGATTTAAGATTAATCACCATTCTGGAAACATAAATTTTATAAATCTAAATCTAAATAAATAAACAAATTATGAATAAAAATAGAAAAGCAAGGAAATGCTTACTGCTAGTATTTAAATACTTAAATATTAGATAGTATCTAATATTTATAACTTTATTTATTTAGATACTATAAATATTTATAGTATCTAAATAAATAAATGTAACTAAACAAAATAAAGAAATAAACATAAATGAAATTGTAAGCAATGTTTACTGCAAATATTAAGAGATAAATAAACAAATATTATATTTATGAACAAAACTCATTTATATCCAATAAGTTATTAAATAAATAATTTATTGAAAAGCCATAAAAGTTTGCGTGAATCTAAAGTCAATAAATAAAACAAATAGTAAATAAAATAAAAAATCGTTATGGCATCAACACAAACATATACAAACGTTTAAAAAGTAATAAAGATTATCTCTTTATTAAAACTTTTATTTTAATATAAAAGTTGACACAACAATAAGCTTGCCTCGTGAATTTTTAGAAAAAGATTGGAAACTATTAGCGAGTATATTTTATTTTCATATTTAAAAAAATGTTTTACAAAAATGTTTAGGCTAAACTTTTTTTTGGTTTAAACTAATAAATCATATCAAAAAAGCTAAAAATTTTGTTTTAGTTGAAGTTCCTATTTTACTTTTTTTACAAGAAATATATAAGAAGTACCAACTTCTTTACATAAGACTGTTTCTGTGGTATCAGGTATGCATATATCTTTCACAATTGATGGAATATTTTTAAGAATATCATCTACATATTTAAGAATATCATCTACATATTTAAGAATATATAACATATTGCTTCATCTGTCTCTGATTCGATTAAAAGTTCTATTTCACTGCCAGATTCTTTTAGCGTAGAAAGATCAAGTCTTCTTCCGAAATAAAATTTACAACATCTTTGATAGAAATTGATTGTCATTTATCAGTCATTTATTTTTATTTTTATAAACACAAGTTGTGTTTATTAGTTCCATAGAATATTTTAGAATTGTAAAATTGAAGTTTGAAGGGTGTATGACTAAATTTAAGATGTTACAAACCCTATAAGTAACACCTCAGTGCAAACTATTATGGCGTAAAAAAGCCCTCCGCATTATTACAGCATTTTGTCTGGGTCAAGGTAACAACATCAGCTTTTACCATGTCTAATAACATCTGTCTAACAATGTCTAATAACATCTGTAAAAATAATGAGGTATAATAACATCTGTTCAACAACATCTGAAATTTTATTGATGTCTAATAACATCTTAGAAAAAGTTAAATATTACAGATGTAGTTACATCTTTTAAATTATCAAAGTATAATAACATCTGTGCAACTACATTTTTAGATTTTAAGATGAAGTTATTTTTAAGATGAATTAATAATGCAGATGTAGTTACACATAGGAGAAAAAAATAAAAATTCTTCCAGATGTATTCAAGAAAAATTACCAGATGTGGTTGCATCTTTCTAAAGATGTTGTTAAGAGTCATTAAATTTCCAGATGATATTGGATAGATGTTATTAGAGCAAAAGAAAAATACAGATGATTTTAGACAAAAGTGTACAGATGTTCTTGCACTACTCCATAGATGTTCGACAGATGAATCTTACCTTTTGTCTTGAAGAGTTAAATTATAAATAATTTATAAAAATCAATATTTATTTTACTAAAATTAATTATTTTTAAATTAAGAAATTTATTTCTATTCTTGACATTTGACAATCTAAATAAAAAATAATGAAAAAATATTATTTGGTATGGTTCTGCAAAAAATATATTATATTTTATTTTTCAAATCAGTTCAAAAAATATATTATATTTTATTAATATATTTTTATTAATATATTATTAAAATATAATATATTTTTTGATTTATTTTTCAAATCAATCAAAAAATATATTATATTTTATTTTTCAAATCAGTTATACATAAAATTGTTAATTTTTTAAAAATAAAAATCCCAGTAATGTTTACTATTTTATACACTAGCATTATTGTTATGACCAGCAAAGATTTATTTAGGTTTGCAACATTTTATTGAAGAATTTCTTTATAAAGCAGTTAATATGCACTAATACTTGTGTTATTAAACATATTTAACATTTGCTTTGCGTAAATTTTTGATGCAGTATTTGCACAAGTTTTCAGGAAGTTTACTATCTACCAAAACAAAATACTTAAGGGAATAAAAGCCTTTTAGCATTATTTCAATTTCAATATTTTTGTGGTAAAAATACAATTTTTAAATAAAATTTATTGATTTATTTATTTAAAATTAATTCCCGCACTTTATTAAATTTGAAAGTCAATCAAGTTAAACCAAGAGATTAAAGATTAAACCAAGAGATTAAGGAGAAAAGCCTTTCTACCATATATTGCAATATAACATATATTGCCATATGTTGTAATATAGCATATATTACCATATATTGCAATATAGCATATATTACCATATAGCAGCAATATAGCATATATTACCATATAGCAGCAATATAGCATATATTACCATATAGCAGCAATATAGCATATATTACCATATAGCAGCAATATAGCATATAACAATTATAGTATATAGCATTACCATATAGCAGCAATTGCTATATTTTTTACTCATTTTGTTTATCTTTATCAGTTATTTCAGAAAAAGAAGAAAAAATAAAGAATAACAAAAAGGTTGCTGCCTATCTTAAAGCATTGAAAACATTCAAATGTTTTCAATGCTTTAAGATAAAGTCATATATTTGTTTATAAATAAAAAATTGTTTTTTTTCTATTTGATTATAATTAGGTTTAGTTTTGGATTTTTTGATATTTTTGTATTTAAAAGATAACATTTGTTTTTAGTTGTTGTTTGTGGAAATAACACTTGTTCAATGTATGAGGAATGCAACGCTACATCCAACAAATGCTATTGTCCTTCTTCTGCAAGTCTTCATAAAGATGAGCCAGTTTGTGGTTCTGATGGGCATGTGTACAAAAGTTATGCAGAATTAAAAATGAAAGCATGCAAACACAAAAGCAATGTCACTAAAGTTGATAAAGATTACTGCAAAAGTATGAAATTTTCAAAGATGTGCTTTTTTCATGTTTGTTAGGTCCTTGACTTTTTCAAAAATAATAAAATATGCTGGTTCATATTTTATTATTAATTGTACCACAAGATTATCACAAGTTTGCTGGGTCATATCATTTCAAAGCATAAGGAAATTATCTCAATACATTTTCCTTGTGTTTTGGGATAATATGAACCAGCAATCTTGTAATTGATGCTGTGATGTAAGCAAGAGAGCATATAGAGGCTGGTAATCAATTGGTTATTTTGTACTAGGTCATGAGGTTAATTTGATATTTAATTATCTTTTATTTGATTTCGCAACACTACATGCAATACATTTAGCTGTAGTTGATGTAATTTATAAATACAAAGTTAAAGGTAATAACCAGAGTACAGAGGACAAAGATATTGAAGATGATGGTTTTGATGATGATGGTGATAATGATTTTTATTTGAATTAACATATAACCAATATGTATTTAGATCCTAATTTAAGAGAATATATATATACACACACACACAAAATATGAGGCACGAGGCAATATATATATATATATATATATATATATATATATATATATATATATATATATATATATATATATATATATATATATATATATATATATATATATATATATATATTCTGACATTTTTTAAAATGTATTAGTTGATTTAGTTGACACCCAAATCATTTTGAACTAACATAATATTCTATTATTGAATAAATATTAAAAAAATGTAATAAAAAGATAGTTGATACTAAACAGTAATTCATTTAGTAGGATATAAAATGTGGAAAATGAAATAAAAAATGTCTTAGAATTAAACTAAAATCTTGTGGCCACCAGGGAAAGGTTCCATAAAGGTTAAGGGGAAAGGTTCCATCAAGGTTAAGGGAAAGGTTCCATCAAGATACCAGGTGATCTAGCAATTGTGTAATAAAATTTTGTAAAAAATTTATTTAAAAAAAAAAAAAGATGAAAATTTTTACTGCAAACTAAACTGATGGAAATCATATTGAATACAAATGTATTCAATGACTTCCATCAGCTTTATAGATTTGTTGAAATCAACCAGTGTGGAATGACCGGGAGGCATACAGGATGTCAATTGCTGGAGTACTCTTCCATGCTCTTGATACTATTATGATGTGTCTTACATGTTTCCTTCTCAACAGCTGCCCACATAAAATAGTCCAAAATGTTCAGGTCTGGACTTAAAGGACATTGACTTCCAGAGTTGTCCCATTTTATTAGAGAGGTACTGTTAAGATTTTTTAGAGCAGGTGCACCATTCTGCTGAAATGCATAATTACCATCTGGGTATGTCTTCTTTATTCAGGGAACGACTTTGGTCTGTGGAAACCTCAAATATTCTGTTTCATTTTTTTGATTTTTCATAACAAACTCTTGTAGGCACCTCTTTCCTTCACTTTTAATGACACCCAGGATCATCACAGAGGCTAGGTGTTTTATTTTAAAGACATGTTTGGTGTGGTCTAGAACATTTTCAACTTTATTAGTGCTCAGATATTTTGTATAAATCAATGCTCAGTATTTTTTCAATTAACTACTTTGTCAACTTTAAATTATTTTACTTGAGACAAAAAGGATGACATTCTCTATGTGATTTCGTTAATTTAGAAATATATAATTTTCGCCAATTTAGAAATTAAAAAGAACTAGGAATATCGAAAGAACAAAAATATCGAAAAAAGCGATATTTTTGATTTCTATCAAGTGTTTTGTCACCTTCAGTACTTCACTTCAGACTTCACTTCAGCCCTTGAGTTCATGTTTTTCACTACGCTTTGCATTTAGAATTCAACACCTTCGATTTCTTGGCCAGAAAGCAGATCGAATCAGGCTCTCTTTTCCTTTTCTTTTTTTTTTTTTTTTTTTTGTTTTGTTTTGTTTTGTTCTCTTTGTTCTTTTTGTTTGTACTGGAGTGATAAATCGTCATACAACATCTTCAGATTCGTGTAAAAAGTTTTTTTATACGCAAAATGAAAGTTCTTGAGCACTTCAGCACTAAAATTATTTCGGTTAGTCTTACTCAAAGTCAATATCAATCATTTATTTACTTCCTGTGTTTCCATTTTTTATTAAATGTTTAAAATTTGCATTATTTTTTTTACATGTATCTATGGCTCAAAAAAATAAGCTGTGCAGATACCACTGTGAGCCCCTTTGCTACAACATGGGGGTCACAGTGGCTGGTGAACTTTAATTCAGATAAAACTCAATTTTTTTCACTTCCTATGTTTATGAGCGGTAATGTACTCAATGAGTTATCTACCCTTCATCTTCTAGGATTAACTCTTTGCTTCTGATCTTTCTTGGAATACATATATTAAATCTGTTGCAAAATTAGCATCTGCTAAAGTTGCATCTCTTTATCGAGCTCGACACTTTTTTACTCTGGATTCTATTCTCTATCTCTATAAATCTCAAAATTGGCCTTGTATGGAATACTGTTGCCATATCTGGGGCAGATCTTCTGATGATGCCCTTTCTCTGATAAGCAAGGTGCAAAAATGCATTGTAAACATAGTTGGACCAACCATTATCACATCGTCGTAATGTTGCTTTTCTTTTTCTTATCTACAAATACTATAACGGGCACTGCTCTAAGGAGCTAGCGTCCCTTGCGCCATCGACTAAATTTCACTCTCGTGTTACTCGTCATTCAATTAAGTCTCTTTTTCTGTGTTCCTAAGTGCTCCAAAAACTCTTTACTGTAACTTCATCATCAGATAACATCAGATAACATCTTCATCATCAGATAACATCAGATAACATCTTCATCATCAGATAACATCAGATAACATCTTCATTATCAGATAACATCAGATAACATCTTCATCATCAGATAACATCAGATAACATCTTCATCATCAGATAACATCAGATAACATCTTCATCATCAGATAACATAAGATAACATCTTCATCATCAGATAACATAAGATAACATCTTCATCATCAGATAACATAAGATAACATCTTCATCATCAGATAACATAAGATAACATCTTCATCATCAGATAACATCATCATCATCAGATAGCATGAAACTTTCTAAACTAATATCAACTAGAGATTTAAAAACTGCTTTTTTAACAAATGAATTTTTGAATCGTGGACAACATTGAGTTCCAACGAGTTTTTGAATCCAAAATTAGCAGTAGCTCTTGTCCAAATTCATTTTTAGAATAACGTTTTAAAGAATCCATTTTCAAAGAAGATCTTTTAAAAAATACAACAATTGTACAAACTTTAGCCATAACCTTATGAAGCTCAGGAACAAGATCTGGAGCTTGGTGACTAGTATCATTTTTTTTCCTCCTCCTCATTATCACCAACATCATTATCATCATCAAAACCATAATCTTCATTATCTTTGTCCTCTGTACTCTTAGTACTCGGGTTATTACCTTTAACTTTATATTTATAAATTACATCAACTACAGCTAAATGTAATGCATGTAGTGTTGCGAAGGTAAAATTTACCGGAAAATTTTCCGGTAAATTTTGAAAATTTACCGCCTGGTAAATTTAAAAAATTTTTTTTTTTTTTTTTTTTTTCCACTTTTTTTTTAATTTTTTAAAGGAAAATTTACCGTTCTTTATTTAAAATTTACCTATAAATTTACCGTTAAATTTTGAATTAAATTTTACTGGAAAATTTACATCACTAATTGCATGTGCAAAACAAAGCTGATATTCGGAAGGAGAAATAATTCCTAGTTTTTCCATAACACTAGCACCATCAGTTGTAATGCAGACTGCATCCGTTAAAAGACTTACGTTAAACATGTCTAATTTTTTTATGAGTAGTTTAAGGCAATCGTTTGAGTTGTGTGATCTTAACATTTTCTGCAATCAAAGATTAATAAACCCTTTTTTAAAGTGAAGATTTATATTCATAAATCTCCTGCCATGTTTTGAATATTCGTCCAAATCTAAACTTAATGTTCTTTTCTTTTATTTTAAGTATCTTTGTTTTATTTTCTTCGACTATTTCCATATAATATTTATAAATAAGATTTATGATATCTGTTTTTGATTTTGGTAGAGTGGTGTACCCTTTATCACGAAAAAACTCACAAATTTGATCCGATTTAGTTATTGCACTTATAGTAAACCCATCAGTAGCAGCAAAACGAGCCAATCGCTCACCTAATGAAACTTTTTTTGTCATAGAATCGATTGTTAGTTGAACACAACGTTTTTTATTTGATGTTTCGTCTTTATTTAAAATTATGTTGTGGATTTTTTCTAAATGTCTTTTCAATCCAAAAGTCGAACCACCTTTGGATAATAATACCTTTGGACAATGTTTACATTGTGCCTCGTTTGTGTTTTTAGAATCAAAATAACTCCAAACTTTAGAAGTTTTTGGATTTAAAAGCATTTTTTTTTAATTTCTAATTTGCTGTCATAAATTTCAATACGTAAAAACTATAAATAAACATTATTTCTTATAGTCCGTAAAACAAAACACTTTAGATTTTGGCGGGAAAGTTAGAAAATGTATGTTCGAAAATCCCGTGATCCCGGAAAAAATTTCCCGGGGCTACGAGAATTTAGATTATTATTTTTTCCGGGAAATTCCCTGGAAAAAATTCCCAGAAAGAATCCCTAGTTGTAACAAGTTAATCAGTAATAAAAAAATCATTTTTTTTTTTATCAGCTGCTATTACTAATCTGCACTAACTTGTCAATGTAAATAGTTTAATTGTATTGTTTATAAAACTATATTTTATAAATACAAATATGTTATAAAACTATAATTTTTAAAGAGTCAGGCATCTTTTAAAATTGTTATATATTTTTTCAACGATTTTATTTTTAGGTCGACATAAAAAATCTTCTAATAAGAAAACCATCACTATAATTGTAATCATCAGTTTACTTTTGATCCTAGTTTTGATCATTGTTGTTGTCCTCTTCCTTAAAAAAAGAAGAGAAGCGCTGAGCATATCTGAACCTAAAAAAGATAAATCGAAAGATGCGCTTTTGTAGATAAACTAATAACTTTTATTATTGTTTTTTGCAGTATGTTGCACAGTCCGAAACATCTTTTGTATATAGTTTTATCCTTAGCGCTGGACGATTCGTCTTCTTATCTTCTTTATCTTCTTATCTCGGACATTATTTTTAGCTAAAGATTTTAAACTTTTTTGAACTACATTATTTTTTCTCTTTGATTTGTTTTTAAGTTGCATTGCAAATGCTTTAGGAACAATAGATTTTTAACAATTGAAATGTTTTACATTACTAGCTAGGAAAAATTTGTTTTTAAAATAGGTTTTTTCTGAGTTACCATTTTACTAAGAAATTGTTTTTTGATTTTAAAGATGAACACAGTTTGCATAATTTCATTGAATAATTATAGCTGGTTACATTGCTAAATTATTTGATATGCGTTGTTGAGTATTTTAAAAATATCTCTGTGTAATATTTAATAATTCATGTATAAAATATATTGTGAAATATACTTTTAATTAGTAAATTTTAACAAATATTTAAAGAGAAAAAACTGTCTAGTTGTAGTTGCAAAATTTTATATTATTGCGTCGTACAGTGGGTGTTCTTACCTTATTTAGTAAATGTAGTTTTAAATTTTTAAAAAGAAAAATAAATACTGTCTTGTTGCATGATCTTAAATAATTTCGTTGTTAGGTGGGCGTCCACGTCCACAATCGTGTAATACATTTTGACCTTTGTAAATTTTTATTAAAAAAATCAGAAATCTCTTCTTAAAATATTGGTATTTGTAAAAGATAGTAATTTTTTAAATTAAAATAAATTTGTTTCTGAATTTCAGGCTCATAAAAAACTCATAAAAGCATTATTTTTTTTAAACTAATACTTAATTTTTTTTTTATTTTTTTTTATTCAACCATATCAATAAAATTTACAAATTTCATCGTAAATTAATGTAAATTGGTTAGGTGTCACTCATATAGTTACAAACTAGTCAATGGAGTGACACCTAAAAAACATAAAAATTTCACGAAAAAATAAATAAATAGAAAGAAAAAAAAAAAAAGGAAACTAAAGTAAACAAAACAAGACAAAAAAAAAAAAAGGAAAAACTCAATATCTGTATATATAAATAATAAAGAAAAGAAGAAAAGATTGTTAAACAAATAATAATGATATATGTAATAATAATAGTAATAATACAAAATAATAACAATAAAGTACCAATAATATTAAGAATATTATAATACAATATAAATTGTATGTACAAATCATAGATGATAATTAGATATAATAATAACATAAAATGTAACATTAATAAAACAATAATAAATAAATATAAGATTGGTAAATAATAAATAAAATAAAAATCAAACCACAAGACAACTATAGTACAGAGAGAAATTATAAAGAAATACACTCCAACAATATATTTTTAAATTGAATTCTGTTGAGCAGTAAAAAATTCGTAACAAGTGGATATTTTTTATTAGACTTTTTTGTTAATGCAGGAATACACTGGTTCCATTGAGAGATACATTGTTGTTTTATGGAAAACTTACCATATTTGATTGTGCTGAAAAAAGAATAGTATAGCTTACTATTTTCTGTATTCCTGGTGTGATGATTATGAACTTCGTTTGTTTTAATAAAAAAATTTGAAAAAGGGCTTGGTAGTTTATTTTGGAGAAAGTCAAACACAAAAAGACAATTGTAAAACTTTACAAGATTATGGAGTTATAGGATTTTTAGTTCAGAAAATTTTTTTTCGATATCAGATCTCATTGGGGAAAACGTCATTATTCTAATAGATGCGCGTTGTAAACTAGCAATGTTGTTAAGTAAAAAGTTTCTTTTTTGACCCCAAACAATACAACAATAGCAAAAGGTGAGAAGAGAATAAAGAAAAATAAATCATTCGAAGAGTTTGGATAGGAACATAGTAACGAATTAGAGAAAGCATACTGTTAGCTCGTGTAAGTTTTTTTTTTAGATGATACAGTTGATTATACCAAGATAGGTTTTCATCAAGATATATTCCAAGATATATACTTTGATGGAAAAAGTTTTTTACCATTAATTTTAATTTTAATATGATCAATAGTTTTTTGAGGGGAATGAAAAATAATGTATTCAGTTTTATTGACATTCAAGGAAATACGGTTACTATTTAACCAGTTACATAAGCGATGAAGATCTTGATTAACTTTTTTACAAATAGTCGTGAGGGATTTGTTGATATATAAAAGATTGGTATCGTCAGCATAATGATGTATCATAGAATTTTTTAACGAACAAGATAAATCATTTATATATAATAAGAACAACAACGGTCCAAGAACGGAACCTTGTGGAACGCCATATTTAATAACTTTATGTGTGGATTCAAATCCATTAATTGAAACAAACTGAGTGCGATCCGTAATATATGAAGAAAACCAATGATTAGCAATACCACGTATTCCGTAGTAGTTTAACTTTTTTATTAGAATGTTGTGATCAACCGTATCAAAAGCTTTTTGAAGATCTATGAATACACCACAAGCAAAAGAACCACTGTCAATTGCACCACGAATCATTTCAGTAATGCTAATAAGAGCGTGAGAAGTGGAGTGATTTGAGCGAAACCCAAATTGTCGAATATGAAAACAAGCAGAATTATTTAAAAAGTTGTAAATACGAGAATACATAAGTTTTTCTAAAAGTTTGCTGACATTTGATAATAATGAAATTGGTCTGTAGTTATTACGTTCAAGTTTTGAGTCTTTTTTATGAATTGGGATAACAGAAGCAGTTTTTAAAATATCAGGGAATACACCGGTTGTGAATGACAGATTAAATAGTTCAGAAAGTACAGGAGAGATATCATTTGCAAGAGCTTTAAAAATAGGTATTGGAATGCTGTTAGGTCCAGAAGCCTTGCTGTCATTAAGAGAATGAATAATCGATAATACTTCGTTTTTGTCTGTAGGTTTTATGAACATTGAATTAAGATTAGGATTTTTAAGATATTTATTAAAGTCAGTATTGGATGAGTGGATCTTATTCTGTAAATCTTCCGGAACTGAAACAAAAAATGAATTAAAAGATTCCGAAATTTTAATGGGGTCGTGTATCATGGAGTTGGTAGAAGATAAGCATGAAGGAGATGAGTTAACTCTCGAACTAATGTTTAAAAGGTTCTTAATACCATTCCATGTAGATTTCAAATTTTTGGCATTGTCAGAGAAGAACTTAGAGTAATGGTTCTTTTTACTACGACGGGTGAGAGTAACAAGTAAGTCTCTATATGCTTTATAAGATTTTTCTAGATTGAGTTTGTTATTAGGATTCTTTGCTTTAAAAAATTTTTTAAATATTTTATTTCGCATTTTAATAGAAGTCAAGATTCCTCGTGTTATCCAAGGTTTGAGACCTCTTGATAAGCAACGATTGCTGACTTTTTTCAATGGTGCATGTTTATCTAAAAGAGAATTGAAACTTGAGAAAAACTCTTCAAATGACTTATTAGTCTTACCTTCGTTGACATTGATTACATTAATCCAGCTAATTTTTGAGAAATCACTACATAACTCGACGCAATTTATTTGTTTTAGATTTTGACAAAAAATGCAGCTTTTACGAGAATTAATTTTGGTTCTATAAAGAGGATGTATTAAAAATTGGGGCAAATGATCTGATACCGTAGAAGTAAAATTACCGGCAAAAATATTTGTAGAAGTTGCATTAGAAAATATGTTATCAATTAGAGTTTTGGAGTGATTTGTGATTCTTGTTGGCAATGAAATAAAGGGAAGAAAGTTATTTAAAGCAATAGTGTCTAAAAATTCAGACAGAATTATCTGAGTTTGCTAATAAAAGATCGACATTAAAATCGCCTATTAAAAAAGTAGTTTTGTTTTTTTCCATAGATAGCTTTTCAAAAAGTGGAATTAAATATGATTTAATAAATTCTGAAATATCCATACTAGGATGGCGATAAATACAGCCAATAATGATGTTTGATTTTTTAGGAATTATGATTTCCACAAACACAGATTCTAAAAGTTTTGGTTTAAGCATATTAAGGTCATATCGAAGTTTGTAAATTAATGTATTCGACATATAAATATAATGGTAGCTCCAGCTACCATCCCCACATGCACACGCACACATCTCAATCCAAACACACACACATCACAACCGAACCAGTCGATGTAGCAGCAATCCATATATACAAACCATCCACATATATACATGCATACATATTCCATCCACATATATACATAGCTGATGGTAGCTCCAGCTACCATCCACATATCCTGGTGGTTATTTTTTGTAGGTGATTAAAAACCTACCTAAAATTTGGTTGTTTTCAAAATTTCGAACGTCGAAATAGGTTTTTGATTTTATTTACTGTTATTTTCATGATCTTTGAATTCATCTCCAGGTTATTAAATAGAAAATCTTAAATAAAATTTTCCACTTGGATCCTAATGAATGGGGATGAAAATTAAAAAATGGTTGTATTTTTCCGACACTAAATGATAAGGATAAGAAACAGTCCGATATACCAATATGTTCTTGCATAAAAATATATTAAAACGCATGCAGTGGGTGTCAAGGTCATGATTGCAGTAACAAAACGTACGGTTTTTGTTTTTTTTATTTTAATATATATTCTTTTTTAATAATTTACCACACCGCTTAATTAGCAAAGCAAATTTGCGGGATTTTAGTTAGTAAAATTGTTTTGTATTTTCGGGATTTAGAAATTGAAGAAGTACCAAATGTGTAAGTTAAAGCTGTCAAAATCGATCCCTGGATATTCCCTTTAATTTAGTTTAATAATTCTTTTTAAAGCTTGCGTCAAAAGTTTTAACTTTTTAATCTCGGTTTATTTAGCATGCTTCTTTGATACTTTAAAAAATATTACAAGGTACTTCTATACAATTAGAAAACTTTTTTCTTAAAAAACATTAATTACAATTATAGTTAAGATAAATTACAATTTTTTATTTTTTTATTTTATTATTATTTAGATGTTCCAAGAAGACCTAACGGTCTTGTCACAGAGCACCGCGGAAGTGCATTTACCAGGAAGTTCACGCCTCCTTCCTTACGGTGACGCGAAAATATGTCCAAGCCTTGTTTCGGACCTGGATCTCCTGCTTATAAAGCAAGCGCTCTAACCAATGCGCCACGGCCGCACATATAAATACAATACAAATATAATAACACAAATAGATCGAATGAAGACAAAATAATAATTTTTTTTTTTAATTTTAATAAAAAGTTGGTTTTGGTCCCTAAAAGGGTTTATTTTTTTTTTATTTATGTTAAGTGCATAAGAAAAACTTGAAAATATATACCAACTTGTACAGATTTCAATATACCAACATGTTGGTGTAGATTTTTACTTTCAGCAACGTCTTTAGCAACTATGCTATGGAATTATAACCTCTCTATTGCAAGTTGTTTCTTGTTTTTGATTGTTTGATTATTAGTCATTGTTTCTAGTGCAATTCATTCCCAATTTGTTTTCACGTATTCCTTATGCACTTAGAATAAATAAAATTTTTTTTTTTTTAGGAATTAAGTCAAGACTCTTGCTAGTATTGAATACTTCCATGACCAAATGCAAAATGTTAATGAGCGTTTAAATGGAATTATTTGGACACGCAGTCCCAAATCAACATTTTGTAGCCTAAAAGTACTTACAATCTTATACCAAATGACATGCCACCGCTCTTTATTGATAACATACTTCTAAAAAAAGTAACAGTTACCATATTCTTGGTATTTATATTGATGAAAATTTGTCATGGAAAAATCACATAAAAAATTTGAGTAGTAAAATATCAAAAAGCATAGGAATTTTATACAAAGTAAGGAGTTTTTTTAAATAAACATAAATTACTTAAACTATATTATTCGCTTATTCATTGTCACATAAATTATGCGAACATTGCGTGAGGTAGTACTAATAAAAGTAAACTGGAACCTCTTTATCATCAACAGAAACATGTTGCACGCCTTATTAATTTTAAGGATTGATTTACTCATTCCAAGCCTCTATTAATTGAAATGAAAGTTTTAAATATATATGAGCTTAATATTTTTAACGTTATATGCTTTATGCTAATGTAAAAACAATATTTTTTGTTTAATTACATTTTCATAATTTGTATAAAAAAAAAAAGAAAAAACTAAATACATTTTTGCAACCGTGGCACAGTGGTTGTGCACTTGCCTCAGAAAAAAATGATCCGTGGTTCAAACCCCACCTCTGGGCAAGTTTTGCGACATCGGTTAGGAAGGAGGCGTGAACTTCCAATTAAATGCTCATCCGCGGTGCTCTGTAATAAGACCATAAGGTAATGATAAGGACTTCTTGGGGCATCTAAAATAAAAAATTAAAAATACATTTTACAAAATGATAACGACATTCGTCAATCACCTTATCAAACTAATTCTGGAAAATACTGTATTTCATTTTGAGGAACATTACTTTGGAATAAAATAGTTTTAAAAAATTTTGACTTTTTTCAAGAGGTTAGCTACCACTCTTTCAAAAAAAAACTTAAAAAAGTCATTTTTTTATTAGATGATATGAGGAGCCCGTCTGCAAAACGCGCTAAGTCACAAAAATAAGGGCATTTTAGTAAAAATTTTAATATATTAATGAGTGATTTTAGTTTGACTAGACTTAAAATACTGTGTGTTGTTAACAACACACAGTATTTTAAATTTTAATGTTCCTCAAAATGAAATACAGTATTTTCCAGAATTAGTTTGATAAGGTGATTGACGAATGTCGTTATCATTTTGTAAAATGTATTTTTAATTTTTTATTTTAGATGCCCCAAGAAGTCCTGTTTGATTAATTCTATTTAGTTAAAACTATTTGGTTAATTCAAATCAAATGTGTTTTAACGGCGGCGAAGTTACACTTGCTAGGTATTACTAATTTATTAGCTTCCGTATCAGAGTCAAAGCTAAATGTTTCTAATAATAACATGCGCCTCATAAAAAGTTACAGTATGACTTCTGAAGAAGCTTTGATAGAACTTACAAATAAGCAAACAATGTAACAAAATAAGAATAACGAAATACAAACTAGAAAAGTTTTGCGTGAAAAAACAAAACGGTAGGCTAATCCAATTAAGATTCAAAAACGTTTGGCAAAGGAAGCTGCTTTGTTTAAGAAACCTACTATTAAAAAGCGGAAACAACAACTAGTGGGAGTTATCGAAACTCCGACTATGTCAGAATCCGAAGCGACTTCCATATATCAACACTGTAAATCTGATAGTTCTTTGAATTCAAAAAAATGTCAAGCTTGTGGCATTTTTTTTGGAGATGAAACTGCAGCTCAACATCTTGCTGTTCTAATTTGGTAAACAACATGTGCGAGAATTGCAAATAGTATTTTTTTATAAAGAAAAAAATTATTTTTAACTTTATTGAAAAATATCTTTTTAATTTTATTAACCAGAGGCGTAGCGAACGTAGCACGTAGATGACCCAAGAAGTCCTAATGGACTTTTCTGTGATAAGACCATAAGGACTTCTTAGGGCACTTAAACAACAACAAAAAAGGGGATAAAACCCAAAGTAATAAAATAGTTGAATAATCATAATAAAAAAAAAATAATAATACTATTTATATTTAAAAAGGCTTTTTTTATCTGCTCCATGTTGTTTTCTTTGGCAACCCATAAGACGTTTTTTTAGAGTCCGGGACGACGCCCTCATTGGTTACTGGTATTACCTATATTATATCGTCATTAAACAATAAAACAACATTTAAAAATTATTTTTTATTATTCGTGACGTGATGCGTTATTAGCGATTTATTTTAATTTATTTTTATCAAAAAAATGTCGTCTTAGATCAAATCTCATTAAATATTAGGAAAATATCTCCTTAAAATCCAAACTTTTTGCCTCAGTTTTAATAGTGGGAACTCTGTAAAAATGCAAAAAGTGGCCACAATAGAGTTTTAATTCATTGTAAATCGTCATCTAATATTTTAAAAACACAGAGAAAAGTAAAAAGAGGTGTAAGAAAAGAGTTTATATTAAATAAAAGACATTAAAGGATGCCAACCCTATAACTTTGGATCCCATTGAGTTAGTTCTGTTTTGTTAATAAATATTAACTTATTTTTAAAACTGTTTTTTTACAGAACATATTGTTGTTTGGTTAAACCGTTTACATAATATGACAAAATATCGCTAAAACTTTATAAAACTTCTTGAAATTTTCCACAAATGTTCGTTATTATTATAATTACAAAATGACCTTTATTGAAGAGTCTCGCTTATTCAGATTTGTACTTAGGAAATTTTGAATAGCCGAGTAAAACTGCGAAAATCACCAACTCATGAAAATTGCTATACTTTTGCAAGTTTTGATAGTTTGAACTTGAAACTAGCACAGATTGTAGTTCACATTGTTATAAAAAAATTTTAAAGCAAATTTCAAAGATTAACAGTCGCTTTTATAAATAATCGAGTGAGCGGTTTAAACCCTTTTTGGGACCAAAACATTCAGTGGTTTCAAGTTGTGGTCCGTGTAATTTCCCATCGAAAAGTAAAAACCAAAAAAAGTTTTTCCTCAGAAAGACAGACACAACTTTAATAATTATTCGAGTATAATTATTAATGTTTATGTCAAAATGCCGAATCAGATATTTGGCCGCCCTTAGAGCTGGCCTTGATCCCATAACTTTGGGGCAAATAAAATAGGCATTTTTAAGTGAAAACAAATTGCATAAACGCGAACCTGCGTAAGCACCAAAAAATAAGCGCGCAGAACAATTTTACAAATTCTAGTTTAAGAGCAAACTACAGTAAACTCCCGATAACCAAACCCTCAATAACTCGAACCTATAGTATTTTGAAATATTTTCAAATCCCCGTTGAAACCAATTTCTCATTAAAATCACTCGATAACTCAAACATTCTGTTAGTTGCAGAAACTTGCCTAAATGGCAAACTGCTTGAAAGCAAAGTGGCATTCAAACTTACTGTTCTTTAAACAAATCTCAGAGGATCGTTTTCAAGAAAACAATCCTTCGAGTAAGATATAAGTATCGATTAAACGTATTTCATTTTGCATTTATACAAATTTCAATAAAATATTGTCTATACGTCTAGTAATCTTTATTTACATAAAGTAACTTTCGATTATAAAAAATCAAAATAATAAAAAAAAACAACAATAAAGCATTTTAGATTTGTATTTACGACAGTAGATTTACACTGCCAACATATAAAAAAAACTCGTCCTTTCATACAGGAAAAAATAAATTGAACGAGAAAAATTACGTAAACTTTCGCAACATATAAGCACTTAACTCGAAGGTATTTCTCCAAAAGAATTTAAAAAGAACTAACAGTGGAACAAAATCAGTTACCGATATAGATCGATAAATCGCCTCGTTAATATGATATGCAATTGTCCATACTAGCCTATTAAAACAGGATGTACTATGGGGATTTATTTCATTTATTATAAATTATTTCACAAAATTTTAGGGGTAATAAAAGGTTTTTGATCACAATTTGAATACTATTAATATTAACGAACGATAAAAACTATATCGATTGACATCTTTAAAAATAAAGAATAAAAAAACTTGTATAAGCAACACTTGTAAACCGTTAGTTTTTTTTTATGAAAATTTAAAAAGAAAAAACGAAATCTATTTACTGATTTCAGCTTCGCACATCTTTTGAGTAATACTTTTTTGTAATCACCTTGTACTGATTTACTTGTTATTACAGTTTATATTTAAATTATCAATTTCTTGTACAAATTATAATATATTGTATATAATATTATAGTGTAACAAAACAAAATAAAAAAAAAATGTAAAAAATAATTCACAAACCAAAAAAATACACTTTACATTTATCTTTTATAAAATAAAAAATATGCAAACAAGCAGTGAACAGAATCCATAACAAGACGTATTTGTGATAATACGATTGTGATGATACATACGATGTATTATAAAAACTTATCCATTCAATATTACACACGATCAATACTACACCTCTATAAATCGTATACGTTAAAGCCTGATGCACCCGACGTATGTATACGTTAAAGCCTGATGCACACGACATGTGTATACATTTAAGTCCGATGCATACGACATATGTATATGTACAACACTTTATGCTTGACGCATATTACCTGTATACGTATAACGTATACTTATGAGTTATGAATAAGAAAAGCATGCATATGACCTAATGCGTGCATGAAAAAAAAGACATGTATATTTATGACGTAATGTTGTTTGTGCATCTATATATCTATATATTAATCGAATTATGTAATTCTATATACGTACTGCACATACAATCAAAAAATATATATACGCCTCTCACTGTAAGAATAAAAAATACACATGCACGTTTCAAAAATCATAAAAAATATACTTTTTGTCTTGTTTTTGAAAATAACGAAAAGTACAGTGTCTCTGTACAGGAAAAATACACAGTATTTCATTCTTTATGAAAAACATATCACTTTCTGGAATCAAGGCAAATATATATACTCATGAATCAGTAAACATGAAAATGCATATAAGTCGGTAATAACAACCACAAAAAGCTGATTTCAATTACCATAAAGAAACGCATGCGCATACAGTAATTATAACAAACACATTTTTGTTTCTGTAACGATGGTTACAAGTACTAAATATTTGCCTGTTTCTGAAAATCATGCAATATGTATACAACTACTTCTGCATTCGAAATAAAATCTTAATACAAAATAAGATTTTAATTTCATTTTATTCTAATAATATCCTTTATCTATAATAAAAGAAAAAAGAATAAAAAGTGTATAACAACATCTTATATGCGTCAGGTCAATATACACAATTCATTTGCATTTAGACATTTCACGTGTCTCTGGTCAATATACATGATTCATTTGCATTTAGACAACATCTCGTTTGTGTCTGGAAAATATAGAAGAAAACATACTTGTTTTCTTCTATGTTTCTTCTGAATTCACTACACTGAAAATAAAATATGATCATAAGGAAAAACTTAATGAAATGCGAACGAAAATAAATGGATCAAAGGATCAAATGCGAACAAAAATAAACCATTTAAGAGTTAACAAAGAAAAGACCAAAAACACAAAAATATTTAATTTTTAGAAAAATTAGCAGCAAGTTTTGGACGCACAGAGATCTTATCAGACGTATTTATTCCATTTGAATTTGGGGTCTTTTGCAATCCTTCAGCAACACTCGTAGAACTTGGAAAACAAGAGTAACGATTAAAAGATTGACAACTCTCACTTTCAACAAAGTTGTTTGCAACTTTTTCAATGGGTGTTTCATAAGAAAAGACTTCTGCCAAATCGTTTACTTGGTGAGAATGCAAAGGCTTAACTGAATTAACTTTTCCAAAATCATCTGAACCACCATTATCAATGTTTTGATTGTCTTCGAATTCTGTAAAAGAAATCAAATCGTATACAACGTTTTGACTGAGCTCAGGTTCAAGAACTGAATCTGAGAGATTCGGATTGGGTTCCATCCACCACTCCAATGGATTAGCAAGTTCTTTCTCCATTAGATCTGATAAAACATCATCCTTGCCATCGTCATCAAACTCCAGAAGATCTTAAAATAAAATTGACGTCAATTTGAAATAGTTGTTTAATATAAATAATAAACCATAAAGTTATGTTTTAAATAAAAAGCATTTTTTAATACGGATATTTTTTTTTTAATACAGATATTTTTTAAACTTTTCTTTAAAGTTTTCTTTTTTTTTTTAATTTGCGTAATAACAATAAAAATGATTTGTGTTTAATTTGTTGTCATAATAAGTGCTATTAATAGTAACAGATTACTGTAATAACAAACCAACGTTTAGACAGAAGTACGATGTGAGAGATGATATGCTTAAATTTTCTTCTTGAAACGTGTAGATCCGACTAAAGTTCTTAAACATGTTGACATAAGAGATGTATCTGTAGCTTAGTCAGCTACAGGGTCGTTAGCAACCAATAACAAAGAGCTGCTTTAGGATCTTAAGGTGAGTTTCCACTCATCCGTTTTTTCACGGGAACGGGATAAATAATCACGTGAGCATGCGTAGTTTTTCTTCAGACATATTTAAAGTTATTCTACGCATGTCCACGTGATTATTTTTCCCGTTCCCGTGAAAAAACGGATGAGTGGAAACTCACCTTTAGACACCGCAGCAATACAAGATAAAATACATAAGTTCAAGAATATTTGACCGTTATTACGGATCATTAATACGTACATTTTGTTTTGTTATTAGCTGTAAGAAAACTATAAAAAACGAGGCCGAAATGAGTAAAATTGGACAAGAATTATCCCCTGCAGCAATTTTTGACTAATAATACTTTGCGCAAATTTTACATTAAAAATTATTTTTTTAAGTAGAAGTTATAAAGTGAAAACATATTATGTTTGAATTATCCATTAGTATTATGACCAAAATATTCACTTTTGTATTAAAAAAATTGTTGAAATTTTTTAAAACACATCGAAAAGAAAGATATTTCAATTGAAAAAATTAAATATTTAGCATAAAATTTAATAAAATACATGATCTACTCATAGTTTCAATACAAACCATATTTTTAAATATTAGTAAGAATATTTTGTTTGTAAATATTAATATTATTCATAATTGAATAATAAACTCGTGCACACTGAACACACTTTTCTGGAAGATCAAAGGATTGAACATAAAATGAGTATTGGATCAATTGACAAAGAATTTACAGCAAAACTGCAGAAAACCCAAAGCAAACAGAGCTAAAACCTTAATGGTGCAGTGCCACTAGATTCTATTGTTCCAGTATTTTAAAACTGCCTGTATAGATGAAAAGACTCCATCATCATTATCATCTTCAAAGCAAATACAATTGCACTCCCTTTTCTTTCATTACTCTGCGACTGCCACGGACTCTCAGACAGATCTGCTGCAGCCCTGGCATCAGCTGTTCTTTAAAATGTTGGCATTTAAGTGATGACAAAAAATATGTTACTGACCAGAGCAAGATAAGACGTGGGTGGATGAATACCAGGGATAACTTGAAAGTTAGTTAAAGTCAAACTACAGGCGTTGTATTTTGATGGCAAAAAATGCTAGACCCTTAAATTTTTTAATAACAAAACCAGTGATGGAAGAGCATATATCCTTGATTCAGGAACTTGGAGGGGGCATTTTGGGACACTGCACTCCTCTAAGCGGAACAGCTGAAGCTATAAAATCTCAAATTCAAAAATACTCAAAAAAAAAAAACAATTTCATTTTGGATGATTTATAGGTGCTTGACTGTAATGAAACAAATGTAAACACTGGAAACAAGAGTGGTGTTATTAGATTGATTGAATTAGAACTCAAACGACCTCTACAATGGGTAATTTGTTTGTTACATACAAATGAGCTGTTTTCAGATTGTTTTCAGAATTGGATGGACCAACATCTGGTCCTAGATACTATTCAGGTTCTATTGAAAAGTCCCTTAAAACTTGTGAGATCTTAAAGGTTGTTGATTTTCAACTTATAAATCATAATGTATAAATGACAGAGGTGTATAATGTAGAAATGTCAGAGGTGGACAGAAGTGCTTGGTACAGATTAGCTTTACCTTTTCGACATCTGCCAAGCTGTACTAAGTACCACTTGTTCTGTCAATCTGGGAAAATGCAGCCCTGGAAAACTGGCTCATTTTATATGGCTCACCCCTGCCAACAGGATCCTCAGATTATATATTTCACCACCAGTCCTTCATCAAATTTAGTAACTATTGCAACATACATTATGCGCGTTTATGCTCCTAGTGGTTCATCATAAAGAAAGAGTCTTCTATTTTTCATGGCAGAAAGCATCTATGCAGGACAATAGTCAAATAATGGTATCTGCCAGATGCATAACATAAGGTAGTAGACAGAGTTATTCAAACAAATGCATTCTTTGGTCATCAAGAAAATATTCTTCGGGCAATTACATCAGATGAGCAGCCGCAAATGCAAGAATTAAGTGTTAGGCGTATACAAAGAGCTAGAGAAGTATGAATGTTAATCCAAGTGTGCAGCAACTCAAAGTTCTGACTCTCACTTTTATGGCAAAAGAACACATGGAAGTTGATTGATTGGAGTAATACACAGCGGACAGAGCCACCACTAACAATGCAGCTCACTGATGAGGAACTGAAAGAAGCAAAACAGAATTGCATTCAACTAAGTAATCTTTTGAATAAGTTAACGAGGCACACGCAAGCTGTAGAACGTTGTGTAAAGATGGTGACATCTGTTTTTGCCTCGATTTGCAGCGATATAAAAAGAGATGGTATGATACGCGTCTGTCTGCAATCAAGAAAAAGCATGCCAATATTTAACATCAAGTTAAATATTGGCATACTTTTATGTTAATATTATGTAATAAATTCACCTGTTCAATTTCTTTAAAATGTTAATAAACTAGAAATAATTATTTCGAAAAAAATACTACAAATCATTATTTGGAATAAAAAATTTAAAATATGAAAATTTTTGAAAATTTGCCTAGTTTGGCCAAAAATTGCTACAGGAATAGGGTTGCCATTCTCCTCTTTTTTACGTAGGAGAACGCGGCGCTAAACTAATTAAAATTGAAGTTTTCACTGCGCTCTCCTACGGAAAAAAGAGGAGAATGGCAACCCTATACAGGGAGTAATTTTTGTCCAATTTTACTCATCTTTTCAATGATCTCAATTTTATAGTTTTTTTATAACTAATATAGAAATTTGGGGAAAAAATGGAGTTTTATAAAAAAAGTTATTTTCGCTCCACCCTAATATGTTTTCACTTTGTAACTTCTACTTAAAAAAAAAATTTTTAATGTAAAATTTGCGCTGACAATAATATGTAGTATAAGTCAAAAATTGCTGCAGGGGGTAATTCTTGTCCGATTTTGCTAATTTTGGTCTCGTTTTTTTAGTTTTCCTATAGCTAATATTAAAAATCAGGGAGAAAAGTTGTATTTCTGAAAAATGTTATTTTCACCTTAATCCCAGCCTATTTCCATATATATATATATATATATATATATATATATATATATATATATATATATATATATATATATATATATATATATATATATATATATATATATATATATATATATATATATATATATATATATATATATATATATATATATATATATATATATATATATATATATATACATATATATATATATATATATATATATATATATATATATATATATATATATATATATATATATATATATATATATATATATATATATATGTATATATATATATATATATATATATATATATATATATATATATATATATATATATATATATATATATATATATAAATATATATATATATATATATATATATATATATATATATATATATATATATATATATATATATATATATATATATCCACCCTAATGTGCTGATTCAGCATTTGTAGAACGACACTATTACATAAGCATGCGCGTAAGCATGGAATGTTTTGATGACTTAAGACAATAGAGTAGAACAGCTATTAAATTAACTGTAACTCTTTTGCAAAGAATATTTTTTTTCTTTCCACCTGATATTTTATAACATCAGCATATCTACTCAAACTAAGATTGAAAATATCTCAAAACGCAAATTTTAAAATGTTATTATAGTCTCTAAAAAATGAAAACTATGTTAAGGTTGTACTAAATGTAAAAAAAAAAGATGGCTTAAGGTGGTTTTCAGACAAGCAACTTTCTGTAACATTAACAAAAGAACTACCAAAAACTTTAATGGAATAGATGAAAACATAAGTGAACAAAAACAAAATAGGACAAATAAATAAAACAGGAAGATAAAACAAAAGAAATACACAACCAGTTGTGCAAATGTCCCTAAATAAAAAAAATATAAAAAAAGAAAAGACCATAGTTTTCAGGGCAAAAAATTTGTACCTTCTTTATATAAGTTTACACTATGATTCGGAATAAACAAAAAGCTAATTTTCGACAAATGGAGATTTATGAGATTTTTTATAGGCCACAATTTTTAAAGCTCACAATTAAAATCTAAAGATCGCAATAAAATTCTTATCAGTGACTGATATGAATTTACAATGACTTTTTTTTTAATTTACAAAGATTTTTTGTTGATAAAAAGTAAAAAGTATTAAACAGGGAGGTCAGAGATCAAGAATAAGTATGGGATGGGTGGGAAAACTTTCCAAAAATTAATTAATATCCCTTTCTGTGTATTAGGCATGCGAGAGTATGTTGTTGCTTTAAATCACAACCAAAACTATTCATTTTGATATATTTTGTCACGTGGCACAAAAATTAAAATTCGACATCTAAATTTACAAATAAAATAACTCAAGATATTATATTTTATATAGTAAAATAAATTTACTATATAAAATATTTTAATATTATATTTTATATAATAAAATAGCCACAGATATTTTATAGCTTTTTCCTCATTATAGATGCTTAACAACATGACACAAACTATTTCAAAGTATAGGGTGCAACATTTTTCCTTGATCAGAAATAATGACATAATCTATCACATGACATCTATTTTTTTAAAATTTACATTTTAGT